GAAGGAAGGAAGGAAGGAAGGAAGGAAGGAAGGAAGGAAGGAAGGAAGGAAGGAAGGAAGGAAGGAAGGAAGGAAGGAAAGAAGAGAGAAATAGCACGGACAGGTCAGCCTCTCCAACACAGCATTTTGCAACTCAGCTTGCCAGGTAACAAGGCCGCTGCCACCTGGGCTTGGCGCCTACCGTAATTTTAACCACGCAATGGTGTGGGCAGTGCCGCCGGCCCTCCCGCTGGCCGGATTTCAAACCACAGACCTGAATATCCCCTCCGAGCATGAAGCTGCCACTCTCTCCTTGCCAGGTGGGAATCGCAGCCTCGGCCTTCGGAGGAAGTGGGCAGAGGGAAGGGGGGAGGGCAGCCCACCTGCCGAAGATGCTCCATGGGCTCCGGGCGACTGGCAGCTCCGGGCATCAGGAGGGCCGTCAGTCCAGGAGGGTCTCCGCTGCAGCCACGGCCGGGCAGTCGCTGGTGTTGCAGCCTGGAAAGGGAGGAGAGACGTTGTGGGCCTGGGGGGCGTTGGGGGGGGGTCAGGGGAGGGCGAGGGGGGTCCTGAGAAACGCCCACCAGGGAGAGCCAGCAGGGTCAGAGGTGGCCACACCAAGCCACGTTCCACTCTACAAGCCAAGATTGCCTTTTGGCTGGGGGGGGTGATGACCGCTGCCCCCCTTTCCTCTCCCAACAGCCCTGCCAGGTAGGCCAACCGAGAAGGGAGGGCTTCCCCTCTTTCCCCCCCCCCAACCCAGGGCCTGTCCCGTGACTTCAGGCCCCATTGTTCCCAGCCTGGCCCGCCCATCCTCCCCCGCTAGGGCATTTCCCCCAACCCTTCCCCATCACCCGCAGCTTTCCTATGGTCCGGAAAACCACGGTTCCCATCATCCCCAGCCCTTGTGCCGGACTTTTTTGCCCGTCGTCAGAGCAAGCTCGGTTTGATCGAGTCCCCATGGTTCCCCGCCGTGGCCGGGGGCGATGGGGGTTGTAGACGGAGGGGGGGCGTCGGACTCCCGGCTCGGTGGCCGCCCCCGCCTCACCTGGCCGCGGCTCCATCCAGCAGCCCTGCGCGCAGGCGGGGCCTTCTCGGCGGTAAACAGCGCCGCGTCTCCACGGCAACGGCCGCCGCCAGCCGACTTCCGGCCTTGACCGGAACAAGACGCGAGGGAGGGAGACAGGGAGACAGAGAGGGAGGCCCACCTCACCATAGACGACAACAGGGCTAGAGGGGATCCAATGGGGTTCTTCGCGTCGCTCTGGCCCTCGCCCTGAGAGAACTTGGAGGGCAGAGAAAAGAAAAGAGGCGACGTTGCTCTACGAGACGAAGGGGGGGAAGGTGGAAGTCCCCCCCCCCGATTGCTTCCCAACAGCCCTGCTGGGTAGGCCAGGCCGGGGGAGGGTCTTTCCCGCCCATTGGCTTCTATTTCAGCTTCAGTGGGGGGGGGGGTTCATTACTGTAACTAAACTATAACTAATAACTATTTTACTTTGTTGAAACCTCGGCTCAGGAGTTTCTTTGGCTCTTTTAAATTCCTGAGCAACGCTGGGGCAGTTGTGAGGCTAAGTGGAAAACCTTACAGTTAGAAGCGGTGAATGCTCCAACACTGGAAGTTTTTAGGAAGAGACTGGACAGCCATTTGTCAGAAATGGTCTAGGGGGGTTTGACTAGATGGCCTCTAAGGTCCCTTCCAACTCTGTTATTGTTGTTGTTTATATAGAGAGATCTATAATCTATATCTAATTTTTCGTATCATCTCTATATGTGTCTATATCTATCCATCTATATCTATCTCTATCCATTCATCCATCTATCTATATCTATCTCTATCCATTCATCCATTCATCTATCTATCTATCTATCTATCTATCCCACCTTTATTATTACTTGTAAATAACTCGAGGTGGTGAACGTAATCTAATTCTTGTCCCTCCTCCTCCACCACAACTCTGCGAGGTTCTTGTGGGAAATGTAACCCTTCCCCCCACCCCCCATCTCCACCCCCATCCTTTGCCCTTCCTGAAACATCTAAAACCACCAAGCTCAGAGAGCACCAAGGATCCCTTGTTGTCATCCTGGCCTCTCAGCATCTGGAAACTGCAGCACCCTAAGAGAGGTTTGGGGTGAGCCCCAGCCAATAAACGAGTGCCTTGCTTTAGTCGAAGCGTTACCAGCTGGGTTAGCCAAGCTGATTGTGATGGTCCCGACTGCATTGGATCTGTCGCAGAGATCTGCAGCAATCCAACCAATGCAGAACCAAGAGCTGTTCCAGAATCCACTGGCAACTTGGGATTTTTTTATTTTTTATGTACATCACACGATGGGGGGGGGGGGACAGATAAATTCATCCCCAGAAGACAAAACAATTGCACAATGCCAGGAAGCACTTTAGCACAATAGTAGCATCAAGATTGGCTCTTTCATCAACATTTTGCCAGGGGGCCAGGAAGTATTTGGCAACACAGAAAAAAAAAATGGAACGAAGAATATTAAAACTGGCAAAAGTGTAGAGGTTGATCCAAAAAGAGAAGATGGGAAGAATGGAGTTTTTTTGGGCCACTGATAGCAAGATTTCTACACCTCCCCCCGCCCCCCTCCCAAAATGTTTCAGGAAGAAAAGCAAAGAGCTTAAGGTTTGTTTGTTTTTTTTAAAGAAACCAGCTTGCCTAAAATCTTTGCATTTCAAAGTCGGGGAGGGGCAGTCAGTGGAGGACGATGAAAAGGAAGGGATGCAAAAATCTGATTTTTGGCAGAAGGCTGCAGGAACAGTGCGGCACCAATGAACCTGCTGGCCCGATTTTTAAAAAATTAAAATCAAAGTAAGCTGGTTGCCATGGCCACCCTCTCCGCCCCCCCCCCCCGTCCACCTGTTTCATCTGTCAAAGATTTTTCTAGAAATGAATTGCCATGGCAGTGGAGAGAAGATCTAAAAATAATACCACCCTTTCATCTACGAAAGCATCTCTCTCTCCGCACGTCTCATTTTATATAACAGCAGAATTAACAAAAGGACAGTGTGTGAGCAGGCAAGGGGAAACAGCATCTTGCTGGCATTGACAGGAAATGTTTCCAAACAGAATAAGAGTTGAAAGGGACCTTGGAGGTCTTCTAGTCCAACCCCCTATCTATGCATCGTTATCTAACCATTATTTGGGGGTACTTTGATTTGTTTCTGCTCTGCCAAATTGTCACAGGTTAAACTCGACAAGAAAACAGTCTCTAAGCTTTTGGGCCACCTGAGTTTTAATCGCCCCGCAGAAGCCTGTGTTCGAATTCTACACTTAAGGCTAAGATTCTCGACTCGAGAAACTGGGATCTATGTGAAATTAAACTTGCTCAAGAGACCCATTTAAATTTGCATGGCGACTTTAGTCATTCCCCTATTTAACAGAAATTCAGGATGTGCAATTTTGCCGAATGGGACCATCCCCTTGGGCCCTTCTGGGTTTCTGAGGACTTCTGCTACATCACTCCGCTACTAACTTTTTGTTTTTTAAATTTTACTTATTAGATTTTTTTAAATCCCACTTTTATTATTTTTTAATAAACTCATCACTTTCAAAATTCAGGGTTTAAACCAAACTGGTTTTCTCCCCCAATTTCTTTTCTTTATAGTTTGATGCTCCAAACTTGGCAACTTGAAAAGATGTGGAACTCAACTCCCAGAATTCCCCAGCCAGAATGGCTGACTGAGGAATTCTGGGAGTTGAAGTTCACATGTCTTCAAGTTGCCAAGTTTGGAGACCCCTGCTAAATAGGTACCAATATTCTCCTAGGATTAACGAAAACTAAGGCTGACATCTCAGGGCATCTGATTTTGGTATTTAATTTCTATTTTGTTAAAAATAGGTAACAAGATTCTGCCTGTCCTTGCGAGCAGATGTACAACAGGGCAGCACACTGGAGAGGAGTTCTGGAGAACGTCAGAAATCCAAGGTACTGAAAACTGTTTATATGCAAGATTCCTGCTGACTCTCATCATAGCAGGAAAACAATATCGAAAATTTGTTTGTTTTTAACGAGACTTGAGGAAGAATTGCCAATTGCATAACCAGCTGTGGAAGTTATAGATACCCAAAGAGATTTTATTTAAAGGCGTTTCTCCCTCCCTCCCCCAATTTTTGCAGTTCAGCAAGTACAAACACCATCTTCTCTCCCTCCCCAAGGCCACCAAATATGTAAAAACTGCCCCCCCCCAGCAATGTACCAAGAGTCCCATCCTGCTGAGCACCAGCTCACAGGGGCTTCTTTCTGCCAACCTCCAAAATCCACAGAAAAGGGCGCAAAGCTTCTGGTTGTTTCTCCCCAAGCGAAAAAGAGAAAAAAGGGCTGCGATTATCGTGGCACCAGACGAAGGAGCTCAGTTGACGAGGAGGATGGTGTGATGGTTCGGTTGCCTGTCGGACTCTGGATTTGTTGCCAGGAGGGAACAACATGGAAGGGACGTTGTGTTCCCCACGTTGTGTTCCTGCGCAAATCTCCAGGAATTAGAAAATTATGGCTTCGGCGCTCCTAGCGGGACAGGCAAGGGGGCTCCCGGCTAGGTGGCCTCCAGGAGGCCCTGTCCCCCACGGGCAGCGCACCCTGCAAGCTGCAGAACTGGAATTCCCGCACCAAAGTCTGCATCTCCGGCCGCTCCAGGCACCTGGTCATCTTGGGCCCTGGAAGGGCAGCGCCGGGGCGGCCCCTGGGGGCCGTGTGGTCAGCCCAGAGGGCCGGGCCCGCAGAGCCGATGGCGCAGATGATGGAGCGGGTGGCCAGCCAGTCGAGGGGGGCACCGGTGGCCGTGCCCAACGCCGCCGGCCGCTCTTTCCTCCTCCGGCCTTCCTCCTCCTCCTCCTCCTCCTCCTCCTCCTGGATGGAGCTGAGCCGGGGCCCGTTGCGGCCGCGGTCCGGCGGGGGCCGGTAGGGGCACTTGGCGTTGAGCAGCCTGCGCAGGGGCGCCAGCGGGACGACGGCCTCCCCGAGCAGCTGCCGCTGGAGCCGTCGCGCGTCGCTCCGCCGCTGCAGCCGCTTGAACTCGTCGAAGGCGGCGGCCGAGGTCTGGAAGAGCAGCCGGGCCGCCGCCTGCGCCTTCTCGGCCCGCGAGAGCAGCACCGCGTGGCAGCGCAGCGCCACCGCCTTGTTCTTCACCTGGTGCCGGTAGACCCAGGCCAGCACCCGCGGGTGGCGCCGGTCGGCCGCGCAGTAGGTGATGCGGTGCAGCAGGTAGGCGTGCGCGGCCCGGGGGCGGCCCTCCTTGGCGGCGGGCGGGCGCAGGTGCAGCCCCTGCGGGCCCAGGCTGAGCTGCATGCGGGCGCCGCGCCGGCCGGCCTGGCTGCGCGCCCAGAGCTTCTCCACCGCCGCCTCGGCGCAGCCCTCGCCCTTGGCCAGCAGGGTGGCGGCGTGGCCCAGGTAGCAGGCGCGGAAGGTGGGCTCCTCGGCGTTCAGCTGGGCCGTCCGGCGGCGGCGGCGGAAGAGCCCGCCCAGCGCCCCCGCCGGCCACAGCTCCGGGCAGGNCCCTCCCGCCCCGGCCGCGCTGGCTCTCCCGCCGCGCTCGCCGAGCACCAGCCGCGCAAGGAGGAGAGGCGGCGAGGGACGGAGCCTCCGCCGCCGCCGCTGCTCCGCCTCCTTGCCCGGCCCGGGCGCGCGCCGCCCTCGCGAGTTCCCGTGTCCGCGCGCCCGTGGGAACGCGCCCGACGCCCGCCCGGCTGCTTCCCGGGAGCCGCTCCATTTCTTTTCCTTTAAAGCTGAAAATAGTGCTTTTGTGGGTGTGGGGGGGATTCTTTGTGAATTCAGCTGGGAGAAAGCGGAGGCTGGCATGAACTCTTCTGTTGCACCGTGGGGGGCGGGGTTTCCACCCAGAATTAGAAACTGGGGAGAAGACTACATTTTAGAAGGAATTCGCCTAATTTCACATTTTGAAACCCACTCTGTGTTGTTTAACCCTTTTCAAAAGCGTAAGAGAGAGAAGAGGAGTTGACACAGGAGTGCACGCGTTAGTGGACAGAAAAGGGCAGGGCGTGTTAAGTAAGTTACAAGAATACCAAGACACGTTCATAAATGTGCCCGCCCTCAACAAGTTTTACAGCAGAGATTTAAAATCTCTTTGAATCCAGAACCCGTCTCTGGAGGTGGATCTTCTGGGGTTCTCGGCCACCCAGGGCCGGGGGCTGCTGAAGTCTTTAGTTGTCAGCAAGTGGGGGCTGAGGGGGTCGCCCACCTGGGCAGCCTACTGAAGGGGCGGTTACCGGTGGCAGGAAGGTGCTGAAGGGACAGCTCCCCAAGGCCTCCTCTGGGATCCTGGTGGCCCAATTCTGCCCCGTTTGGGGGACTGCCAGCCCAAAGGGCCGGCTGCTTTGGGAAGATGTTCCAGATGTTTGGGAGGTGCAAGCTCCTTATTTCTGATTCCCAGCTGTGTTGCTGGGTCCGTACTCCACGCCGCCCACAAGGGGAATATTGATCATTGCATCTGCCGGACTGTTTAACTTCCGGAAATGTGTGTCAATCCATCCAGTTTGTAGCTCACTTAGCTACAAGCCATTGCTCAACCAATGATGTCTCGGTGTGACGTTTTAATCAGCCCTCGCTTGTGTACGTGCGTGCATACATCCAAACTGGAGGCCCCCGCCGCACCCCTTGCGTGGCAGGAGGATCCAGGCCTCGCTGTCGGCCTCCCTTGTCCCAGATCAGCTGTGCTTGCTCTCCCAGCTCTTCAGGCTGCAGGGACTTTGTGGGTTTTCGTAATGGCCTCCTCGCCGTCACCTCACATCCCCTGGCACTCAGGGAGGTGGATTCTGCTAAAAGGAAGACAGCAAGCTCCTTGACTTTGTGGGTTCTTTCACAGTCACAGACCCCGGGAGTCACACAGTGCCACCTCTCTGCAGGAACTGGTCGTCAAAATAAAGAGTAGTTTCTAGTCTGGTTCATTGTTTGCATCCTAAATAAAAAGGAAATTTAGGAAAACTGAGGGAAGGGAAGAAAGAATGAAGGGAAAGGAATGGGGGGGAGGGAGGGAGGGGGGGAAGGAAGCTGAAGCTCACTGCAAGTTGTTCAGCTCTCTCTCACACACACACACACACACACACACACACCCCTGATGCAAAGGAGCTCCAGTCAGCCTAGGTGCATACCCCACCCCAAAAGCACCCCTTATTTCTGGAAAATCGTCTTGTAGATCCACTTCTGGAAGTTGGCTACGGCTGTGTAGACGCCGGGATACCCGGGGCTGGCGCAGCTGTGTCCCCAGGAAACGATGCCGAACACCCGCCCGTCACACACCAGGGGCCCCCCGGAGTCACCCTGGGGGGGGAGAGAGAGAGAGAGAGGAGCCAAGAAGCTTGGCAACAACCCACAGATTTCCCAAGGAATCTTTTTTTTCCCCTTATTTGTTTGCCCAAGTCCCCCTCCTCCCCCTCCCCCCCTGGAAAAAAAGGGCTAAGGGCCCTAACAGTCCTGGGATGGTCCAGGCACTTCCTGCAACCAGGTTGGGAGGCACAAGACGGAAGCCTCCTCTACCTGACAGGCGTCTTTTCCTCCCCGTCTGAAACCGGCGCAAATCATGTTCTCGGTGATGTACCCGGCGTACGAAGCGGAGCTGTTGCACTTGCAGGTGGAGACGAGGGGCAGGTGGACGCTGCGCAGGGTGTCCGACGTCCTGCCCCCGATGGGCGTGGTGTAGCCCCAGCCGGAGACCTGGCAGAAGCGGCCGGCCCGAACCTTCGTCCCTTGCCGAGGGACCGGCACGATGGAGACGAAGGGGCTGTAGGCCACCGGGCGGCTCAGCTGGCGGGCGAGAGCGCAGAGACCCCGAGCGGGTGTTGAGGTGCAAGGAAGCCCCCCCCCATTTATTCCCCCAAGGGGCCGTGCCAGCTTTGGGGACACTACGGCGGTCAGAAAGTGGCCTGCCAGGCTAAGCTCACCTCCGTGGCCACCTCCTCTCTCCCTGCCCTCCCCCCTTCCCCGATCGGTCTCCTCCCCCCTAAGAGCCGAGCCCCAAACCCCGAGAGGTTGGGGTCACCTTAATCAACATGATGTCCGCATTTTTCGAGGAGGCGCTGTAGTCCGGATGGAGGACCATGCGGGCCGGCCGGAAGATCTGCTCGGTGCCCTCAAAAATGGACAGGGAATATTCTCCGGCCACAATGAGCATCTGGTCCCTTCTGCAGGAGAGGAAAAGGCCATCTGGAGGGTGGGAGGTTTCCGATATGGGAATGTCTCACTTAGCCACACAAACGTTGGGCTCGACTGCGGCCGTTAAGTCCTGGACGCCTCCTCCTTACCCCGTCTTGCAGTGGGCAGCGGTCAAGACCCAGCTGCGGCTGACCAGCGCCCCCCCGCAGAAGTGGAAGCCCGTCTTCCTCTTCAGAGACACCAGATACTTGGAGGAGTGGGGGGCCATCATGTAGCCCCCAACGATGCGGGGGGCATCCGTCTCTCGGTCTACGGGGAGAGGGAGGCGATCAGCAGTCCCTAAGAGACCTCTCTAAGGTGATGGACAGATGCTGCAGGCCCCATAATGCCCAGCTAGCAGAATCACAAGCCCTCCCTGGTCCCCGAGCCCACCTCCCCAATTAATGCCCTCCCTGCAGTGTGGGTTATTCCCCCCATCCAGTCCGTTTTTGGCACTTCCAGACTCAGTTCTCAGTTCTTGTGCTCTAATTCACTCCACCTTTTTTTTCCAGTAAAAATGATTTTCTATCTTCTCTGAAGGAATGTTGAGCTGCTTTTTTTAGAGGCCACGTCAACATGTTTTTATGTGCTGGGCATTTTATTGGGGAAATCATCCTGCTGAGATGTATGCTACCATAGCCTTTTTAGGTTAAAATGGAACATGCTTTTATTTCTGGCGGTTTTAATGCACTGGTCACTTCTGCTGTTCCCTGACCCTTTTAAAAAGGATGCTGTGATCTGACACAGGAGTCAAGCTGACTCCAGTGACAAATCTGTAAATTAGTTGCATTTATACAACCCAGTTGCTGACTGAGTTGAATCCATGGGGTTCCCACAGTAGGGATATTGAATTAAATCTTTTTTTCTACTTACAGATTCTTCCCTAAAGCCTGCCTGCCTGCCTGCCTGCCTGCCTGCCTGCCTGCCTGCCTGCCTTCCTTCCTTCCTTCCTTCCTTCCTTCCTTCCTTCCTTCCCTCCCTCCCTCCCTCCCTCCCCATCTCTCTCTCTCTCTCTCTCTCTCTCTCTCTCTCTCTCACACACACACACACACACACACATACACACAAACAAGCAACATTTTTTTCTAGTCATAAGATTTCTTGCTCAGGAGATACACACCCATTCATTTATTCTCCCCCAGTGTTTCTAGCCATCTTTACAACTTTGCCACCTAAAAATGCCCTTTAATTGCCAGCTATCTTCCAGCACTTCCTGGGTTTAATTACCGTCTTCTCACAAACAATTAAGCAATTGTCGGCAGAGTTATGCCTTCCTCCCTCCCTGCCAGGACGTTGCTCTGATTATTAGTTTCCTCTTGGTCTCTCCTAGGGGGGAGGGGAGGGGGAAGGAGGGGGCCACCCCAAAGCCTCTTTTCCTGGGTGGGTGGGAGGTTGAAAATGAAATGAAAAGTGAAGGAAAACGGCCTTTTTCTTAATTTAGACAGGCAATATTTTGAGAAATGAGGAAACGATTCCTTTTTTTGTCATTCACGACACAGGCCGGTCAGCTCTTGTGGCTCAATACTCAAGAGGCCGCTGGATTCATACCTGGCCATTCCTGTCCGCCTCCATCCCCGGCTGAAGGGGATCCCGTGTGGGGGTTCCCCCCAAAATCCTGTTCCGCTGCCCCAGTTTCTGAGCCGGTCCATGGAGCTGCGGTAAGAAAAGGTACGTCGGATCTAAAAGGAGGGATCCCCTGGTACACCAAAAGGATGTGCCCTCCCCCCCCCAGTCTCGCATCAAGAGTGGGTGCAGATTAGACAGAACTGCCCAAATGTCCCTATTCAGGGGGGTCCGCAATGCCTCTGCCGAGAGAGAATCTGGGGCCTGGAAGCCCATCTGGGACAAATCACTCACCGGTCAAGGAAGAGAACAGGAGGAGCAAAAGCTGAAGTCCTGGACTGTGAGGTCTCATCCCACTTTACTTCTGAGAGCATCTGTGGATGCCCCAAATCTGTCCCTTTCTTCTCCGTCCGGGCTCTTCTTTCCGTTGCCATAGCGATCTCCATCCCAGGAGCACCATCAATGGTCCACTGTCCCGGAGGTCCTTCAGGGCACCAGCACCCGCCTGGCATCCTTCTTCGGGTCTTCTCAGCTTCCTTCTGGGCCCTGCCCTCCATTCAGGCCCAAGCTCAGGTTTCTCGGCAGACGTGGCCGCTCGGTGACATCCCGGAGGCCCCGGCATCCCTGCCTGGCACAGAGAACGGAGCGTCTGCCGCCGGGCAGCACAACCAATGGTGCACAGCCTGAAAGGGATGGGCCCAGCCCTCCGTAAAGATCAGACGTGGCTCCTCGTCCCTCCTCCGGGTGGAAGTCAGGCTGCTTCGATTCCCGATTCCAAATTTTCCTGGATTCAGGAAAGAACAGAAATGTACAAAAATAGGATGTTGGCAAAAGAAGGGAGTGGCCAAAGCTGTGCCACCATCGTTTCCAAGCAGGATTCTCGGTGGGTTAAAAGACGTTGCTTAAGCGTGGAAGGTTGGGTCTGCAGTCCTCATTTTACAACAGAGGGGGGGGCACCTCTGCATCCCAGAGCTCCGGCTTCAGGACGTGCAAAGTGGAGTCTCTGCTTAGTGACGGCCACATTTAAAACAAGGCCGGAAGCGCCGTCTTCGGCAGCAGCTTCTAGCCAGTGTATAACTCGTTGATCAGTGCGCTACGCTCTGGGTTTTAGCGGTAGAGCTTCCAGGCGCTTAAAAACGAAACAGCCTTTTCCTCCTCCTTCCAGTTTCTGAACCTCCTTAATTTGAATGCCCAGAATCCCACGGTCGTAGACCCCAAGGCACGTTTGCAGAAGTCACATTGGGAAGAAAGATGGGTGGGTGGGTGGGGTGGGTGAGACAGGGGAAAGGAATGCCAATCTTTCAGTCCAGGGCTTGGATTGTTTGGCGGAGGAAACGGCACCCCTGCCCATCCCTCCGTGCCAGGCAGGATTGGGCATCCAGACAACCAACCTAGAACTTTGGAGATCGGAGGTTGTGGGTGCTCCATCGCTGGGGGTCTTCAAGAAGAGACCCGACAGCCTTTTGTCCTGAATGCAACCTGGGCTCTTTTAGGACTCGTGGACTTCAACTCCCAGAATTCCTGCTTGAACAGGATTCATTAAGGGACCGTGGGGATACTGCAACGGTTGTGAGGGCAAGGATTGTTCCGTGGAGTCGCGCGAAGCCCCTACAAGGTTGGCAGTTCCTGTTTCTGCTGCTCAGGGCTTTTGTCGTTGTGGGAGAAGCAGGAGGGGAAGGAAGTCCCAGCCTCCTTGCTCAGAAATGATGACAGAGAGATGCAGAGAGTTGACTGATGGGCCAATTGCACCCTCTTCCGAGAAGGGGAAGAGGATCTGGGCCGGCATCGGTGGCCACAGGGCAGCGGAGAGCCCGGTGCCATCTTGAGGGGCCCCAGGTCAGCCAGGCCCTGCAACAGAGGAGAAGGGACCCTGGGAAAACAGGTCTGTGTTGTGTATTGAACTGAAACTTTAAGGTGGGCACAGAAGTCAATCTAAAGATTAAGCTGGATGATTTTAGCCGACTGCCACTCGCTTCATTGTTCTTTCCTTCCGTCTGAATTCAAGGAAAGAAAAGGGGCTGAGATTCTCAGGTGTGACAGTTGGGGATATCTCACCATACTAGTCCTCGGTAAGGTCTGTGCCTGGGCCATTAGCCTCTCCCAGCTGGGAGAAGCGAAATTAAACAAATGGCAGAGACTGTTTAGGTTGTGGATGAAAGCAAAGACGGAGAAGCGGAGGAGGAGGAGGAGGAGGAGAGGTCAGCTTGACCAAATTAAATTTTCCTTTGTTTTGACCGAGCTCCTCTCCCACAGCCTTCACGCTGGGCTTTTTTCCGCTCTCTTTCACTTTCTGCCAAGTTTTGCAGAAAAAGGTTTCCTTGTGGGAAAGAAAAGGCCCCGTGCGGGTGCAGTTAAACAGTCACTTGTTCCAATTCTGGAACCTTTGAACAGTAACTAGGAGAGGGATCGCGGGATCGCCCTTCGGCCTGACTTGGGCAGGGCCCACGCAGAGATGAGCGGAGAGCACAGTGGGGCCTCTCCAGGAGCCTAAAGTTAGCCAGGCAAACGGGGGCTGTGCCCAGCCCAGCTCTTCTAAGCCTCTGCACCGTTGAACGAACTCGTCCTGCATAAATCCAGGAAAAAGCTGGGCGGAGACTCCGGGAGAGAGGCTTTGATTTTTCAACGGAGGGATACAGGAGAACCTCCTCAAGCCACGCCAGCCTCCTGCCAGGACCTGCCTGCATAATTTTCTCCAGGGCAGCGGCCTTCTTTAGGTGAGGATGAGGGTCTGATTCCTCCAGGTCCAGCCAATAGTGAGTAAGAATATCTGATTTAGGAAAATGCGTTTCTAGCAATGTGTGTCGGGGACAGCAAGCAAGAAGGCCCCGGACACAGAAAGGAGGGGCCACTTCCCCGTTCGGCCCTCCAGAGACTGCTAGATTGCAAAACCACTTCTATATTTCTTAACCGAGGGAACTGCTAACCGCAAAGCAAAGCCGGTTGGCTCCCGCCACTTTCCACCAGGATCTCCAAAGCAGAGCTGGGTTTGGTCTTCTCCTGCCCAGCCGGCCCCACCCCAGCTGGGAGGATGCAGTGCCAGCCTGGCGCCTCTCCTCTCCTCTCCAGCCTCCCCGGAAGGGCAGAGTCCGGCTTCTCTCCCTGCGCACGGCGCCCACGGCCGGCTGCCCTCTCTGGCCCCCGTTGGTCTGAGTGGCTGGGAAGCGGCAGAGGCTGCACCTCCCCCCCCCCCGCTTGCCTCCCTTCCCACAGCAGGGCTGCCAGGGTTTCCACGGCTTTGCTTCCCCCCCCCCACCGGCCTCCCTCTTTGCAGGGAGTCCCTGGAGAGATCTCCCGGCCCTCCTTGGCCCAGCCGCTGGTCTCTTGCTACGGCTGAGTTGGCAAAGCAGCTGCCCGGCTTCTTGGGGCACGCAGGCAGGGAGAGCAATCCCGCCCTGCTTTCATCCTCCTCCTGCAGCCAGAATTGGGGCTGGGGGCAGAGAAGGGCCAGGAGGCTGAGGGGGGGGAGTGAGAAGGCAGCCGGGGACGATGCCCACCCACCGCCTCATCCAGGCTAAGGAGAGGCGACTTTCCTCCCAGCGGGGGTGGGCACGGGGAGAGGCCGGCCTCCTTCCAGAAAGGTCCCCGATCAAAGCTTGAAACTTTTTGGGTGGCAAAACAGCTGTGCCCACCGAGGAAGGAGGTCCGGTCATCTCCGATGCTGCTCAGGCGCCGCCAGAGGGAGAGAAACACTCACCGCCCGTCTCTCCATTCCTTCCCCTGGTGCCGCCGGGATTAGGCAGAGCTCCTGGCCATGGCGCATGAGCAGCTGGGCGGCCCCAAGGCCGGGCTTGAGCCGGAGGTGGTCCAGCGGCTTTTGGGCGCCTGTCAAGATGCCAAGAGGTTTGCCTACTGTCCCTACAGCAGGTACCCCGTGGGAGCGGCCCTCCTGACCTCAGAGGGGAAGATCTTCACAGGTGAGGAAGCCGGGAGCAGTGCCCCTCGGCCCGCCTGGACCCTCCTGGCCCAGAGAAATGGGGGTTGGAGGAAAACTATGGCCCCTTCTAGGCAGCCAAGCTGAATCCCCCAACCCCTTCAGGGAAGATTTCTGGGGTAGCGGCCGTTACGGCACGAGCAAGGGATCCTGGGAGATGTGGTTTAGCTACGTCTTTTTTTAACGCCTCTGATATTCTTGTTGCCCCCGCCAGGTTGCAATGTTGAAAACGCCGTGTTTCCTCTGGGCGTCTGTGCCGAGCGAACGGCCATCCAGAAGGCCGTGTCTGAAGGTCACACAAAATTTCAAGCCATGGCCATCAGCTGGTAGGTGGTGCCCAGACCCCCGGGGGTGGGGTCTCTGCCGGGAAGGCTTTCAATGAGCATAAGCAGGAGATGTTTTTAGCCGGGCGGTTTACACTTTGAAGCGGAATATCACGATGGAGACGGCTGAAGGTGCTCATTGGTGGACGACTGTGGCTATCTGGCTAGACCTGTCTTTCAGGAAGAAAAAAAAAAAGATTACTTCCTTGAGCTGCAAAACCACACAGAAGCCAGTCTCTTTGTGTGCCAAACACAGCTTGCAATGCAGGGAGCAAAAATAACACCCATCTTGGCATAGAGTAGATTTAAAAGCCAGAATATAGTCAATTTCTCTTTGGAAGCAATTGGAGCAGGAAGCCCCTTTTGTGGGAGATTGTCAGGGCTGAGTGCTGATGGGGGGGGGGTGTCCTCAGGGCATCTCTTGGGGGTTGGGGAGGGGGCTTAGAGGGTCCTGCAAGCCCCAATCATTTGTCTTGCTGCAGGTTCAGTGCATTTTCCAAGCCAAAACCCATAATAGTTCCGTGAAGAAGACAAACGCCAACACCAGCCCAGCCTCACGTAATTTTGGATGTAGGGAGCCTGACAGCTTCTGGGATTCAGTGAGAGAGTTTCATATTTTTCTTTTTTCTTTTTAAACAGCAACAGCCAAGAGTCCTACGCCATCCCGTGTGGAGCTTGCAGACAAGTCCTCCGAGAGGTAAAAGGCTTTCTTCCCTGCCCGCCTTCTGAAACAACCACGTTGCTGACTTAATTGCAGCGAGTCACCGCACAGCTGTGGCAAGGAAGGTCACAAAATGGGGCCAAACTTGCTTAAAAGCTGTCAAATGTGGTCGTGAGTCAAGGACTGCCTGTATTTGAGATTGGTGACACTTCTGGGTTTTGTTTCCCTAGTTCGGTCAACAGTGGGAGATCTACTTGACCAGGATGGACGGAGCCTACATCAAGAAGAGCTTGGAGGAGCTTCTGCCTTTCTCTTTTGGTCCAGAACATCTGAAGATCTAGGCGGGAGGAAGGAGTCCCGCAGCGGCTTCACTCTTTCTCCGCACCTCCCCAGTTCAGAAACCTGGCACACCTTCGCTCCCCAGCCTGGGACTCCAGGGATCTCCGGACCTCCCCTCAAAAGGCAGGCGATAGCAAAATGGATATTTGCATTCCCAGGGGGCACTGCCTGTGTAATCGGGATCCTCAGCTTCATTTCAAAGGGGTGAATCTGGGCTCTTGGCCCCTGACCTGCAGCCCCTTCCTTACCCCAAGATAAACCGCTGTCTTTTTTGAGTCCATTGGCTCCGTATTCTTTGCCCTCGTCCTCACCGTGAACTCCTAGAGCAAAATGGACTTCGCCAACGAACTCGGAGTGCTTGGGTATGGTTAGGAGGGCACTAAGTGCCAGTTGTGTTAGCCCCCAATGTGCCCGTGTGGTGTATACACACCCTTCTCCACACACTGAATGAATTGGGCTGTGCTCTTGGTAACGTGGAATGGGAAGTATGTATGTGTTTGTGTGTGTGTGATGTGCCCCAGGAGCAAATCACGCCGTTGTTCATGGAACAGTCAAAGGGATTCCCTTCCCATAATTAAATATTTCTCATCCTGGGCGACTTGAAGATTTTTTTCAGTTATTAAAATGCTGCCCAGTGGCTGCTCCTCCATTCTGAGTGTCCCCTGCATCGAAGAGAGGAGGGAGGGAGGGAGGGAGGTTTAAATCGGGGCTCTCCAGACTTGGCCACTCTAAGACGGCTGGACTTCGACTCCCAGAATTCCCCAGCCAGCCACGCGGAGAGAGCAAGCCTGCTCAGGAGGCTTTCAAATGCCCCTGAAGAAGACTTCAACCCCCAGCATCCCTCTCCCTCCGCGCATGCGCGCTGCTTATGGAACGTTGGCCGTTCAGGTCCGCTTTGCCCGCCCCGCCCGCCGGTCTGCGTGGCCCCGCCCCCTCCGTGCGTGCGGCCTAGTCGGGGCGATGGGGCTGCGTCGGGCGCTGGGCCTCGGGGCGCGGCTGGGCCGGGTCTTCCTGCGGGGCTGGCTCGGGGGACCTCCCCGGCCCGCCGCGCCTGCCTCCCGCTTCTCCGCCGACCAGCCCGCGCGCCCCCCGGGGTTCCTCCTCCTGCGCCTGGCCGCGGCCCGGCTGGGCCTCCGCAGCGTCCCTCTGCGGCGCCTCCCGCCGGCCCCGCGGCGCCTGGGGCTGGCCCTGGGGCTGGGGCTGGCGCTGCTGGAGCCCCCGGCGGCGGAGGAGGAGAGGCGCGCGGCCGCGGCCTGCAGGGACATCCAGGTGTGGGCCGCGTTGCTGGGCGACGCCGTTGCCGGGGCAACNCCCCCCCCGCTTTTTTTGTCCTGCTTCTGCAGGTTGTTGGTTTTACTAATGTTTTTCCACCTGTTTGTGTAGAATCAAATAGATGCAGGGCAGAAAAAGGGGGGGGGGCTGTGCGCAGTTCATACAGAGTCTTATAACCTCTGAAGACAAACCCTTCCTGGCACTGATGACGTCCCCTAGTTGGGTCATGAAACGTCTGCAAGGAAAGGACCAAACTCAGAGAGCACCCAGGACCCCTCAGTCCTCCTCCTCTTCCTCTTCCTCCTCTCCGCAAGCCCCACTCCCTTCTTGCACTGATGACGTCCCCTAGTTGGGTCATGAGACGTCTGCAAGGAAACGATCCAAGACACACGCACACACACACACACGTATACCAAGGTAGCCAAAAGCCCGAAGGCGGAGCAGGTCTTGATGGCAGCAGAGGGAGACGGAAGCCACGGGCAACTATCTCTGGGCTGGCTCCACCGAGGAGGCCCTGCTTTTTCCCTTCTGGCCCGAAGCCATTGCGCCCGGCGTTCCTTTTCGTGCTTGGGAGCCTCTGACGTGGCTGCTCTTCTTTCCAGACCATATTCCTCCCGAGGAACAAGCCTCAGAAGGACACCCTGGGATTACTCGCCCGGCGAGGCTTCAGCCTGGAGGAGTATTTCATCGGCCAGTCGATCGGCAAAGGCTGCAGCGGGGCTGTGTATGAAGCGGCCCCTCCTGCCACCCCCACCAGAGAGGGAGAGCGGGTGCCCCAGCGGAGGCCTGGCGATGGGGGCGCTTCGGACGTCCAGGGTGCAGCAGAGGCCGAGGGCTGGAAGGAAGGATTTCCGCTGGCTATCAAAATGATGTGGAATATTTCGGTAGGGAACCGGCCTGGGTGGCCTTCCTGGCTGAAAGTAAATATTTGCTCTTAGAGAGCCAGCTTGGTTGGGTGGCATCAGTCTCTAGAAACCAGGAGACGGTGAGTTCTAGTGCCACCTATGAAAGCCAGCTGGGTGACTTTGGCCCAGTCACTAGGAGGCTGGGAATTCAGGTCCCGTGAAAGCTGACTGGGTGATTTTGGGCCAGTGCCTCTCTCTCGGTCAGCCCACCTCACAGGGCTGCGCTGGTGAAAATAAGAGTAGGAAGGTATGTTAGATGTCTTCGCTGCCTTGAGTTTTTTTTTAAAATAATAAAGGGACATAAATACATAAAAATTAACGGTGTCTTTATTTGATTCTGGCTTTTCCAGGCTGGTTCTTCTAGCGAAGGCATCCTGACCACCATGTCTCAAGAACTTGTCCCAGCCAGCGGACGGGCCCTTTCTGGGGAATTTGGAGCAGTTGCCAGGCCCAGGTAGGCCTTGCTAATTCTGGTGGGCTTGACAGGTGGAGAACAGTTCATAGGCACAGAAAGAGGGAAAAGAGAAGAGGTTATCATTTTGCAACTCGACCTGGCAGCATCAGAGAAGATGAGCCAACTCTCACATTGGCAGCATTGTGATTGTCGTCTCGAAACAGGAAGCATCTCTTTGGGAAGAAGTGGCTGAAACCTCACCCCAACATCATCCAGGTGATTCGGGCTTTCACATCTCAGGTCCCGCTGCTGCCGGGCGCCACGGTGGACTATCCGGACGTCCTGCCTTCCACCTTGAACCCCTCCGGAATTGGGCACAGCCGGACCCTCTTCCTGGTGATGAAGAAGTAAGCAAATGGATGCCACAAAATGGATGCCTCTCCTTTGGAGCTCTGGCTTAGGGGTTTTGCCTTGGGAGCCCTCAGGGTAGAAAAGCAGGATACAAATGAAATGAAGAATAATAACTTTACGACAGGGAAATGAGGAGCTTTGTCCTCAAGGACCAGCTCCACAGCTTGGGGGGGGGGGGGCTGCATCCCTAAAAGGTTCAAGAAGTCACCCTGAAGGTTCAGCACCCTGGACAGAGCCCAGACCATGGCTCTCTTTCTCTGCCATTATCACTGAAACAGGCCCTGCTTGCCTGGCTTCTGACACGGGCCCCACACGGGGGGGAGGGGTCAGTGCGGGACCCGCATGTTGGTTTCACAGCGGGAACCCCATTCCTCTCCCTTGCTCTGCTCAGCTACCCGTGCACGTTGCGGCAGTACCTTTCCGAGGGGTGCCCGGACCCCCATGTGGGAGCCGTGATGATCCTGCAGTTGCTGGAAGGGGTGGACCACCTGGTCCGGCAGGGAGTCGCTCACCGAGATCTGAAGTCAGACAACATCCTGGTGGAGTTTGACTCGGGTGCGTTGCATTTTGTAATGGATTTACGTGGGACCCTGGGAGGTTTCTATTCCCTGCTGACACCAAGGAAGTTAAAGCGTGTTCTGTCGCGATCTCTCGCCGGCTGTGGGTGTGTGTGCTCAGCCCTGGTCGTCTCTCCGCTTCCTCCCCGTTGCCCTTGCAGCAGGGTGTCCAGGGCTGGTCATCACCGACTTCGGGTGCTGTTTGGCCGACGAAACGCTGGGCCTGAAGCTGCCCTTCCCCAGCTGGTATGTGGACCGCGGGGGCAACACCTGCCTGATGGCGCCCGAGGTAAGCTTTGGGGAGAGGGACCGCCTCTGGGTACCCCAGAAGGAGCCCATCCCTGCTCTTTTTCTTCTGAGTAAAGGGGCTGTAAAAATAGGGAAGAGAAGACGGTCGCTTTAAGGAATGAAAAGGGAAACTAAGCAAAACTAAGACGGATGGATTTATACAAATGCGTGGAAGCGATTTTAATTCGAAGTCTAGAAACGTTAAACACCCATTTTGTACCAAGAGAGGATGGTGAACCAGGGGATGTCTGAAACCTCCTTCCCTCCTTCTAAATCTGAGTCTGGGCTTGAATGGCCGTTCACCCCCTGCCCAAACCCTCCGTTAGGAAGGCAAGGGGCAGTGCTGCGAATGAAAAGTCAGCCGCCCCCACGTTGGTCCCCTGGCTCACTTCCCCTCCCCCCTCCCCCAGGTGGCCACGGCCGTGCCAGGCCCAGGCGCGGTGATCGATTACAGCAAGGCGGACGTCTGGGCAGTGGGGGCCCTGGCCTACGAGATCCTCGGGCCCGGAAACCCCTTCTACGGCCAGGGGGGCCCCGCCCTGGACAGCCGCAGCTACCGGGAGGAAGAGCTGCCCCCCTTGACCGCCCCGGCAGCCCCGGAAGTGAAGGAGCTGGTTGCGAGGCTCCTGAGGCGGGACCCGGCCAAGGTGAGGACGGCCCGTCTGTCCGGTGCCATGATATCAGCCACCATGAGAGCCAGAAACCTGAACCCGCTTTCTAAAAGCTTCCTGCCTCGGATTCCCTGCAGTCACGGGGTGGAGTTCCCCAAAGGGATTTCTGAGTCCCTGGGGAGGAGCCCCTCCTGGGCTGACCTGCCCCCCCCCGCTGCTTCCTTTCCAGAGGCCCTCGGCCCGAGTGGCGGCCAACGTCCTCCAGCTGAGCCTTTGGGGCGAAGGGGCTCCCGGCCTCCCTCTCCGCCAGCTGCTGGCCTGGCTGCTTCGACAGTCGGCTGCCGCTTTGCTGACCGACCGGCTGGGCGGCGCCCGAGGGGTGGAGTCCTGCTTGAAGAGAGCCTTCCTGGCCAGCCTGGACTACGAGGACCTCTGTGAGGCGGCCGCCCTGCTCTGCTCCTGGAGGGGGGGGCGGCTTAGCCTGCCCCCTCAGTAAAAGCACCCCCGCTGATTCAGGCCTCCTGTCAGGGCGGGGCCTGTGTGTGTGTGTGTGTGGTAGGGGGAAAGCGGCTTCCAGGTTGGGGTGCTGTAGTGCAAAGGACGGGGGGGGGGTCAGGTCGTCTCCCTCAGATCCATCCAGCTGCCGGTGGTTGCCGTGATGAGGCCGGGCAGTGGCCTCTTTTGGGGAGACCCACGGTCTGGTGGGACCCTGGCTGTGGTCTCCAGAATGCGGGGCCCTCCCCTGGCTTCCTAGTTTCCTGCTTGGGTTCACAGAGCTGGGCACGAGTAGCATTTGACAAGCGGGGTTTTGAGTTGCCTGTCATTTAAAACCCCTCGCTTGCACGTTTGACCCTAGAGGGCAGCTGCAAAACAAAGCAAAATAGCCTAGAAGCTTCTTTCATTCAGTGACCTAGAACCCCAAAATGGTGGATTTAATTCTTGAATTGAAACCAGACGAGTTAAATATCCTCCTCACCTGCTTTATTGTGATTCTGTTTGGGTTGTTTTTTTCCAAATAGTCCTATTCTCCAAGCGCAACCAGACTGGTTCCTTCCTTGCTGGTGGCGTTTTAACAGAGGCCAGGAATTCCCCCGAAAACCCCTTCTGCCTGTTCAAAGGGGCTCCAGCTTCCCCTGTTGAATGGCGCTTGTCTGACGTAGCACATCTGCCTGCTTGGTGGAAGAACAGCAGCCTCAGCTCTGGGAGGGGCTGACTTTGGGAAGGCGTTAGGTGGGGGCCTCCCCTTGGAGACAGAAGAAGGAGCCAGTGATTTTTGGGGGGGGGGCTCAGCGTGGAAGGGAGAGCCCCCCCACCTCTTAATTGTGACAGGCAGTCACAAATCCAAAATCAGAGAGCGGTGCCATCTTGTATGCTTGGCTGTGCCCGGGTGTCCTCCTTAGAGGTGGAACTGCCTGTTTGGTTGTGCAAATAAATTGCATTCACATTTGCAGAGTTGTGTGTGTGGTGCTTGGTGCGGGGAGGTTGTTCCTGTGGTTTAAAGGCAGGTTTTAAGTTTATTTTGCTGGAAATCCATGGGAAATCATCTTCCTTCCTTCCTTCCTTTTCTCTTCTTTTCGATGATGTGCTTAATGGTGAATGCAGAAGGCAAAATCAGGTGATCAAGTTCCTAGGCCTGAGTGTTTTCAAGTTGGCTGGCCTTGGGTCCTCCAGGGGGAAGCGAAATAGGCCATCTGAGATTTCCCGCAGCCAGGGGGGGGAGCCCAGCACCCTCCCCACAAAGGGAGGCTGCCCTGGGAAGCCTTGGGCCAAAGCCCTGCCAGTGGGGGGGCCTTAATTGCCTCCTCCTTTCTGCCTGTCATGGGTTTTGGGGTGGGGGCTCTGTTTGCTCCTGGGAAACTTAATTGGCCACTTTCCTGCAAGGAAGAGAAGCAGCCCCCCCCCCAATCTCTCCCCCGTGGAGGAGGCCTCCTCCCTGGCTGGGGGCGTGGGGGGGGGAGCACCTGGTGGGACTTTCCAGGGCAGAGCAGAAGAAGGGAAGCTACTTTTTCCTTTGAGCCAAACCAGAACGGAACGGAACTTGGCGAACACCCTCCTCCTCCTCCTCCTCCTCCTCCTCCTCCTCCTCCTGTCTTTCCTCTCTGGGGTGGTGAGGCTGACTCCTCTCCTGCCTGGCCTCAAAGGCCGCTAGGCTTCCCCCCCCCCCCCCCCCATGGTGTCTTTTGAGAGAGTCACCTCCCCACGAATGCAGAAAAACCTGACCGGCTGCCTTTCTGCAGGCGAGGAAGCAGTCAGAATGGCCCGGGGTGGCCCTTTCGAGGTGGACCGGCCCGTGTTTACTGCAGTCCGGATGTATCACGTTGCTTTAAACGGTTGTTTAGGTGGCTTTTTCAAGTGTCCTGTGGCCAAAGGAGGAAATGGAAGCGCCTACTTGACGGGCGTCCAAAGAGCGCCTTGGCTGGCCACGTGCCAGGCCTGGGCGGCTATATTTCCCTGACCCACGGGTGGCAGGAGGTCACGGCTCCTGCTCTTTGGCTGCTGGAGCAGGGAGGGAGGGAGGGCCGGGCTGGCACTTCTCCCTGGCAGCTGCCAACGCTCTTCTCGGTCTCGGTTGCTGAGTAGCAGCATGGCTGGTCTCCTTGCCCCGGGAGGCCGAGGCTTGCTCCGGGCCTCGCGCCTGGGCGTCCCACGCCTGGCCCCGGCTCTGCGCTCCTGCTGCAGCCAGACCCACCCGGCCCCCCACCGGGGCATCGCCTGCAGGACTCCTGGGGACTCCTTCCTGCACGGCCCCCTGGCCAGGAGGCTGCCCTGCCCTCGCTGGGCGTCAGGCTCCGCCTTCAACGTGCCCCCCAGCGCCGAGGACACGGCCAGGACGGTGGGCATCGGCTCCATGTTCAAGCTGCCCATGCAGGATTCGGCCGAAGGACTGGACGTGGCCTTTGTGGGCGTCCCTCTTGACATCGGCACCTCCAACCGCCCCGGGGCCAGGTAAGGGGGGCCCCTCTTGGAGTGGGGGGGGGGGTTGAAGGCCCATCCAGCAGCCCAGGATTGGGGTGGGGGCAGCAGCAGCAGTCTGCCACTCGGGCAGGAAAAAACCTGCATCAAATTAACATCGGTTGGGCTTAATTCACCAGGCTTGCTTATTTGATCGTTTGGGTGGTTCCTTGGCACTCCCCCTTTCCTGTGGGTCAGGTGGGCCCCTCCGATCCCTGCCCCCTTCAATCTGCCCCCCCCCCGTCTCTGGCCAGGATGGCCCCTGGTGCCGTAGTCCAGCTGGCTCAGACGGTCCCCTGTGTGGGGAGGGCTGATCTGGGCCCAGCGCTGCTCCCGTCTGACTTGGCAAAAGAAGAGCGCTCAATTTGGGGGGCAGCCAAGGTGCCCCCCACACCTCTGACTCAAGTCCAGCCAGCTGCTCTTCAGCCCAGCCAGGCAGGCCATGTCGCTGGGGCTGTTTGAGGCCCTGGAGGTGGCCGGTCCTGGGCTCTCCTGGGGGGTGTGGTGGGGGGGGGGGTTGCCAAGCAAGCTGCTTCTCTTCCAGGTTTGGCCCTCTCCACCTCCGTGCTGAGTCGGTCATGGTGCGCCGTTTCAACCCCGCCACCGGGGCGGACCCCTACCACTCGCTCCAGGTGGCCGACATCGGGGACGTGGGCATCAACCTCTACGACCTGAAGGACAGCTGCAGGAGAATCCGGGAAGCCTATCGGAGGATCGTGGCGGGGGGCTGCATCCCCCTCACGCTGGGTAAGCCAAGCAGGAGGAGGGCGGTGGGCTTGGCCTGCGCTAAACAAAGGGCTTCCTCCTCCCGTCCATCGCTCCCATCAAGTGGCGGGCAGTTCCACAGATTTCTGCCCCAGGAAAGGAAGGGGCTGTTATTCACATGCTGTTTTTGGATTCTGCAGGCGGAGACCACACGATCACCTACCCCATCCTGCAGGCCTTGGCAGAGAAGTGAGTCCAAAGTGGATTCGGGGGCAGATAAGTCAGTTTGGGGATTCTTGTTTGTCTTATTGATTGGAAAGTAGCCAGAATCCCACTGAAAAGAGGGTGGTAACAGGGATCTCTGTGCAAACAGAGGGGGAGGGGGCTGAATTCGAACAAACACACTGACCCCCCCCTCCCCCTGAAGGCTCTAATTTTAGGCCGGCACACTCTGCCACCCAGGCCAAGTATGTGGCTGGAGTTACACAACCCTCTGAAGAAAATATTAGCTAATCAATCCACGGTTGATTGCAGAGCCCTCCCTGAAAAACAGAGCGTGATTGCCTTTCTCGGCTCGGCTCTCTCGGGTCCCTCCCTGCGGCCGAGCCTGTGGTGCAAACCCCCCCCCCCCCGGTTTGAGAGGGGGGGTTCAGGGACTTGGAGGAACTGAAGAAGTGGCCCCTGCAGGGACCAGGTTGAGAGGTTGTGGGAAGCCTCCTGCGTGGCGGGTTTTCCTCCAGGCGCCCACCAGCCTTGCCCTCCCCCCTGCAGGCACGGCCCGGTGGCTCTGATCCACGTGGACGCCCACACCGACACGGGTGACCAAGCGCTGGGGGAGCGGATCTACCACGGCACCCCTTTCCGGCGCTGCGTGGAGGAGGGGCTGCTGGACCGCCAGCGGGTCGTTCAGATCGGGATCCGGGGCTCCTCCTACTCCTCGGATCCATACAGGTTTTCCTGGGATCAGGTGAGCCCTGCCACCCCCGTGGGGGATCTCTTCTTTCTAGCTGACCCAGATTTCTGGAGCAGAAGCAAAACGGGCACCCGAGATGGCCTAAAACTGCTGGGAGGGGGCGATGAAATACAGGGGAAGGGTCCTTGAAGACCCCACCCCCCGAAGCCACCCCCCCTTTTCACTCCTTGTGCCAGAGGTAAAGGTGACCCGTCTCCAGTCGCAAAGCCACCCTTTAAATCAATGGAGACTTTCTCTTGGGGGGGGATGCCAGTGCTCCCTGGGGCTGGGAGGAGCCCCCCATGCCCTCCCCAGCTAAAGAGACGCCCCCTCCCTCCCCCGCAGGGCTTCCGGGTGGTGCTGGCGGAAGACTGCTGGATGAAGTCGCTGGCCCCCCTGATGGCGGAGGTGAGGGCGCAGGTGGGCGACCGGCCGCTCTACCTCAGCTTCGACATCGACGCCCTGGACCCGGCCTTTGCTCCCGGCACGGGGACCCCTGAGACGGCAGGCCTCACCCCGGCCCAGGTCAGCCAGCTGCTTTCATTTGGGTGTCTGCCCTGAGACCCCCAGGGACCCCCTTGTCCTCCTGGCGGCCTCTCCGCCTGCCCACCCACTCGCTCATTCTGGCTCCCCCCCCCCAGGCCCTGGAGATCATCCGAGGCTGCCAAGGGCTGCGTGTCGTAGGGGGGGACCTGGTGGAAGTGGCCCCCGTGTACGATCTTTCCGGTAAGGGGGCTGGGGAGGGCGGGAGGACCAGGCTCCCACTCCCCGAATGTCAGATTCCGTGCCGAGGGCAGCCCCCTCTGCCAGCAAAATGCCCCCCCCCCGGAGCCCCCCTCTTGCTGAAACGCCTTCTGCTCTCTGCCTGCAGGCATCACGGCCCTCCTGGGCGCAAACCTCCTCTTTGAGATGCTGTGCGCCCTCCCTGGGGTGAAGAGGAGCCCCCTCCCCAAAAAGTCCGACTCCACGCTCTGAGAATAAAAGGGTGCCCCCCTCCCCCCGACTCTGGGATCCCGGCTTTGCAACATCTGCACCAGGCACCCTTGGAAACACGCAGGATCGACACACACAAACCCCCGAGTCTCTTCCGGCTTTGGAACAAGAAGTAGCTAGCCCTCATTGCTGCAGTACTGGCAGGAGGCCGGCTCCTGAGGCCGGTCTGCGGCTCCTCCATTTAGAGGGAGAGACTGAAGCCGAGTCCCTAGAAGGAGGGGATTTGTTGAGAGGAAGATTGGAACCCAGATCCCTGGAAGAGAGCCCGTTGCCCTTTAGATCCCCCCCCCGCGCTAATTGAGGTTAAGGCTGCACCGTCTTGTGGCCAGACATTAAAATAAGTTTATTTCAGCTTCAAACCGGTTTCGGAGTCTTAAAGCAAAGCGAACCCCAAATAAAGGCAGTGCTTGTTCACAGAGACCCGGAGGGGGGGGGGAGGGGGAAAAAGGCAGCTTGCCCAATAAATTATTTATTCCCTGACGCCCCCAGCCCCGTATCAAAAGTGCAAAATTCACCCCTATCCCTCCAAAGCGACTTCCCTGCCTGGACTGCGGTGCCCCTCCGTTTTGGGGCACCCCTTTTCTTCAGCAGACGGGAGGCAACCGGAGGGGGGGGTTGTGGGGGGAACCAAAGGGGAAAGGGGGGTCCGCAGGGGAGGGAGGGGGCAGCTCAAGGCTCCGGTTGTGCCAACTCCGCCCTTTTGGCTGCAGGCCACTTGGGGAGGGGGGCAAAGCGCTGTGCCAGGGCTCCCCATTCGCCATCACTTGGCAAGGGAGCCGCCTCGACTTCGGCACCGACCGATGGAGCGCCCAGGCCAGCCCCCTGCCCCAAAGTGTGCTGGTGGGGGGGGACACACACTGCTGAAGGCACCTCCTCCTAAAGGCATCTTGTCTCGCCCGCTGCTGTCAAGGCAAACGGGGGTGGGGTGGGGCAGGAGACACCCCCAGCCTGAAACTCAATCCCTTCCCTCATTGGGGGCGGAGGAGGGGGTTGATCCCCCCCCCAGCCAGCTTTGTGGGGCAGGGCAAGGCAGAAGGCATGCACACAAAGACACACACACCCATCCCTTTCCTCAGTTCCCCCACCCTAAGGGACCACCTGCAGGACTCTGGACCAAACAGTGCCGAAAAGCCTCCTTGCGGGGAGAAAGCCAGCACCTCAGGAAAGGCCAGAGTCACCTACAACCTGCCACGAGCTGAAGGGGGGGAGAAGCTGCTACGTATCGTCTCCCCCCCTGCAGCGTCTGAACCCCACCCCACAGCTCAAAGTACGAACAGCCCCCTCCCCAAAACAGGGAGGGGGAGAGGCAGCTCCACAGAAATGTAAACAAAAGCCACCGAAAAACAGAGGGTCCAGGTGTCCTTTCACCCCCCCCCCCCCCCCGCGGCTGGGTCACCTGCAGATCCAGGAGCCTCGAGACGGAGCCCCCAAAGGGGGTTTTGGTTTTGCACTTGCAATCAGGCGTGCGTGTGTGTTGTGTGTGTGTGTACAGTAGATCGCTTATGGCTCTAGACTAGACATCCCGACACAGACAGGCATGGAAGGAGACGAAGGAAAATGGCCCGTGGATCTGGGTGGGGCCTGGCCGGGCCCGTTCTGCAGCTTCCCCAGACCTGGAGGGTGGGTGGGGGTGGCAGGCACCCCCTCCCCCCCACTAGACTGCCCGCCCTGTCAACCGGTCAGTAGCCAAGGGAAGACACGGCCGGTCAGAAAAGGCCGGGGGAGTCAGGGCCTGGGGCATGCAGGGGGAGGCCGGGCCCCAACGAGCCACAGGTGGAGGGTCTGGAGAGAGAACAAAGCCCATCTTCACAGGAGCAGCAGCCGCAGGAATCCGTAGTCCGAGAGTCTTGACAGCAGCAGCAGCACCGGCTCCCGCAGGCGCTCCAAAGGCTGGGGGAGGAGACGGGAAGGGGGGGAGAAATCGCCCCTGCCCAGGTTCCCGAGACGGTCTGGACTATTCGGCGCCAGAGGGCCGGTCAGCGCCTTCCTCCGCCGGCCCCGAGGGCGAGGGCGTGCTTTCTAACTCACCAAGGCCTAGGAGAGGTCATCTAAAAGCTACAGTCTCATCGGCCGTCCGAGGGGCTCCCCGGGGTCCTCCTTCCGGGTCCGAGTAATCCAGTCGCTTCTCAACCTTTCTGGGTGACTTTAATCGAGGGGGGGGGCTCAGTCCAGGGCAGGCCAGGAGGGGAGATAAAATCTCTGCAAGGACCCCTCCAGCAGCCGCTCCATCCAGAAGGACAGCCGGTGCAGCTTGCCCTTCAGGCCCCGGGGCCCCCACGCCGAGGAGGGCCTGCCCCAGGCGTCTGCCGGGTCGGCGGCCTCGTCCTCACCGGGGCCCGGGCGGCTGCCGTCGCCCTCCTCGGGCTGGGGGGGCCGGAAGAGGCAGAAGTACTTCTTGTGGCCGTTCAGGGCCAGGACGTAGCCGGCGTAGTCGCGCTCCAGGAAGTGCCTGTCGTACTGGTTGGGGATGGGGGCCGCGTCCTGCGCAAACTCCAGCACGTACTCCAGCCACTCCCGGTGCTTGTCCAGGCTCAGGAAGGAGAAATGGAGGCAGCCGCTCCTGGGGGGGAGAGGGGCAGGAGAGATCATCAAGAAGAGCCCCAGGAAGGGCTGGAGTAAGGCAGTGCCCCCTTCCCTCCCACGCCTTGGGAGGGTGTGTGTGTGCGGTTGTGTGTCACCTACCCGGTGAAGGTGAAGACCTCCTGGGCGAACCTCTGCAGCAGGGGAGTCTTGGTGGCGCCGGAGAGGATCAGGACCACGTTGATGTGGCCGGGCCTGAGCCGCACCAGGTTGCTGGTGTAGGTGATGTCCGTCAGCTCCGTCACTTTCACCGAGTACTTTTTGGGAATCCTGGAAGGAAGGAAGGAAGCAAGCGCCGGGCGGTCATGGCACAGGGAGAGGGCAAGGGGGAGGGCAAAGAGGGGGAGGGCCAGCAGTGGGATGCAGCTGCTGCGTGACAGGCGAACACAACCCTCGGTTGCGTGATTAGTACAGCACAATATCCCGATCCTAAGGAAACACCTGTCCTCTTTGGCGAAGCTCATGTCGCTCCTCTCGCTCTTGGGGGGAGGCTCCTCCTTCTTGGGGGGAGGCAAATCCCTCTCGTCACTCGAATCGCTGGAAGAGAGAAACCGGGGCTGGTCCCAGAAGCTGCAGGGTCCCGCACACCCGACACCCCTCCCCAGAAAACGCCTCCCCCCTCCTCCCTCCCCCCTCAAAATGGAGGGGGGAGGCTCACCTGAAGGCCTGCACGATCACCGTCCCGAAGAGGATGAAAAGCGCCGAGAAGATCAGGGACAGCAAAGGCATCATCTCCCGCCTGGAGAAGACAGAGAGACGGATGAAAGACCCCGTGGTGCCCCCCATTGCCCCCCCCAAAGGCTGTGCTGTGGGGAGGAACGAAACAGAGCCCCCGCCGAGGATCCCAGGCAAGGTGGCCGGCCTCGTTGTAAGAGCCACAGTGGCCCCTGCTAAGGGTCCAGGTCACACACACACACACAAACACACACACACACAAACACCCCAGATCATCGGGAGGAGCAGAGGGGCCCGGCTCCTCCTCGGAGCTTCCCCTTTTCCTGGGAAAGAATGGCTGAACTGGGGGCCTTTCTAGCAAGCTTCACAAACTGATGGCAGCAGGGGATTATGGGCTTTGGAGGCCCCTGGCTCGGGAGTCCCGGTGGAAGCCCTGATGCCCCCAGCGAGAGGGGCCCCCTGGACACGCACCAGTTGCTGCGGAAGAGGCTCTCCCAGCAGTCCACCCCGTACTCCAGGGCGGAGTAGGCCCACCGGAGGAAGAAAACCTGCCGAGAGACGCCGCAAAGAGGGAGGGTCAAGAGAGAGGCTGGAATAGGGGCAGGGGCAGGCAGGGGGCAACCCCCCCCAACAGGCCTCCTTCCTTCCAGGGGTCTTGTGAACACACCTTCCCGCCCCAAAAATCAAATTCACAAGAAGGCTCATTTTGCCCGATTTTCGGGGTTCTCCTCTTCAGAGGCTGATGTGGCTGCTGATCCCCGGGGTCTGTGGGTTGCTCCGCTCCTCCCTCCCTCCTCACCCCCCCCCACCGGGAAAGGCCAGAGGGCTCACAGGCGCCAGCTCGTCCGTCAGGTCCGCCAGGACAGCCTGGGCGGAGAGGAAGGAGGCGTCCATCCTCAGCTGGTCCAGGAAGTCCAGCAGGGTGAAGGTGTCCTCCTGGGTGCCCGCCCAGGGCTCCTCCAGGGCCCGGTACACCACCCGCCCGGCGTTGTTGCGCCTCTCGAGGATCAGCACCTGCGGAAGGAGAGTCCGTGGGGTGCCGGGGAAGGATCAGGACTCTCTTCTGGATACGTCAGAGCCCCAAAGCCGTGCCCAGCATCCCCTCCAGCGGGCATTAGCAGCTTCTGCCCCGCCAGGGCTGCCCCTCCGGCACCTCCAACGGAGGGGCTTGTTAAGGTGGGGAAGCAGGCCCAGAGCAGGCTTCCTTCGGGGAGGAAGAGACCCTTCAGGCTGGCTTGGGGGGCACTGACGTCCCCCAAGAATGGGGAGACCCACTGCCACCCGCCCTGCAGACCAGGAGGAGGAGGAGGAGGAGGCAGGCAGGACACTCACAGCCGACTTGGCCTGGGACCAGAGGTCGCCCTGGAGCAGAGTGCGGGCAAACTCCTGCTGGTAGTCGCCGTAGATATGCACAAACCGCAGGGTCTCCTTCGTGTTGGCCACGGCGAAGGCCAGGAAGGCCTGGTAGCTCTCCGCGTACTTCTCCCCCTCGCCCGTGAGCAGGACCACGCAGTACCTGCACCGGCAGAGATTGAAAAAAAAGTGGCCGCTACTGCATGGAAACCATGAGGACTAGCTCCTCGGCAGAAGACGACCCAGGCCCCGCCTGACCCTGCACAGGAGTCTGGGCTCTGCTCTGCCAGCCACAAAGGTTTATTCGGAGTCGGGGGTCCTCCTCCACGCAGGCCTGGATTCCAGAGCCCATCCGCCTGGGATCAGCCACCTTGAAGCCGGAGACACCCCCCTCCCGGAGGAGGCAGTGGAGACGGAGCTTTGTGGGGTTCCTGAGAGAGGGGCCAGGTGGGGGTGGGGGGTGGAAGGGGCTGGATGGAGGGGAAGGGGGCCCCCCACTCACTTGTGCTGGCGGTGAGACTTCTTCACGGGACACAATTCCTGGAAGAGCTTCTGGCTGGTCAGGCGGGTGGCCAGGAGGAATTTGTTCTGGGACAGGAAGTCGTCGATCAGCTGCTTTTTCATGTGGCGGGCCTGGGGGGGGCAGGGGGGAGGTTAACTGGTTAGGAGGGGGAGGAAAGGGAAACACTTCGCCCACCCTCCCCCGCGCTACGCTGGGGCCACCGTGGGGCCCACCTGGATGACGTCGGCCGGCTTCTCCACCTGCTCCTTGAAGACCATCATGGTGGGCGTGTAGACGTTGATGTTGTACTGCCGGGAAAGCTCCTCGGTGCCCCGGAGCCCCACACAGACGTACCCGAAGGACAGGTAGTCTCTGTACGCGAAGGCGGTGAGCTGGAAGGGAAGGGGGGGGTCAGGGGCCCACCGCAGACCCCTCCTCCAGGCATCCCCTCCAGAACCCCCCACCACCACAGAAGGAGGGGAGGATCGGCTGCTCGAGGTCACTGGGCGGTGGACGATGGGCACACCGATGCAGCCCAGCTGCCTTTTAATTTTCCACACCCTGTGCTTCCTCGGCCCCCTCCCCCCCGACTTCCGAGCACCCCCTTTGTTGCACCCGCAGCCCCCTGGCTTCCGAGGGTCAGGAAGGGGCGTCCTGCTGAGCCTGACGCCTTGGGGCAGGGGTCCCTGCTGTGCATGGCAAAGGCCGGGCTCCCCTCCGTCCCCAAAGGGGGCTCCCCCCAAGGCCCGGGGCTTCAGAGACTGACCTTGTAGAGTAGGGGCGCCAGGGGCAAGTGGTCAAAGAGCAGGACATGGGGCTTGTTCTCCTTCTCCCAGTTGGACAGGAAGTGGACGTAGTTCTTGTCCGTAATCTGCCAGGGGGAGGGGAAAAGAAGGCTGTCAGACCCCCGCAGCCGGCTGAAAGGGGGGCCGCCTCAGGCACCCCTGGGTACCGATGGGGGGCAGACAGGGGGTGCGTTTTTCAACGGTGTTTCTCAGCCGCCTTGCGGGATGGGAGTGGCAGATTAAAAACGAACCCTCGGAACAGAATTAGGCAGGAGGAACTTTGCAGCCCCCACCCTGAAGCCGAGCGCTGCCCACCCCGCCCCCTCAACCCCCTGGCCCCCACCCCAAATTAAAGAAACAGCAGAAAGTGAAGAATAAACACCTAAGCCAGTGGCTCTCAACTTTTTCTTCATAACAGACCCCCCCCATTTAAATACCTTTTTTGGCCCCGGACCACCAAAACTCCCCTGTGATGACATCACGCCCCCCAGGGGTCCGCAGACCGCAAGTTGAGAGCCACTGGCCTAAGCCCTTCTCCGACAGGACTCTCCCCTGGAAACCGAGTCGGGGTCTGTGGGGGGTTCCAAAGAAGAGGAACCCCTCCCCCCCCGAGAGCCGCTCCTCACCTTCTCCACCAGGGCCCCAGGAAGCAGGCTCTCCACAAACTGCCGGAGGTTCTCCCGGACCACTGCGTTGTGGAAGAAGGTGACCTTCCCGTTGATCAGGCCCAGGATGGACGGGGTGCTGTGCGCGCCCAGGTGCTGGGCCAGGCGCCGCTCGTAGCCCGCGTGGATGACGCCGATCCCCACACCTGGGAGGGGGAAGGACGGAGCCCCTCAGAATGGAAGCTGGCGAGCCCACAGAGTGCCAGGAGAGCCTCGGGCCTCTCTGCCCGGGAGGAGCAGAAGCCTCGAGCTCCTAAGAGGGCCACTGAGCACCATCGCCCAGAGGCCAAGATGGTCACCGTCCCCAAAAAGGGATGCCTGACCTCTGCCTTTTGGGGCGAGCAGCTTCAACTCAAACCCGGGCCTCCGAGAGGCTTGGGGCTGCTCCCCCCCACGCTCCCTCCCTCTCCCTCCCCCTCCCCCCGCCTTGGCTCACCCAGGGCTTCCAGCTCCTGCACCACCTCCTTCCAGACGGGCTCGATGTGGACGCAGCTGAAGCACCAGTCGGAGGTGATCTTGATGAGGAAAGGCCGGCGGAAGCTCTCGGGCACCACCTCGTTGACGTAGTGGGAGAAGTGCAGCAGGTACTTCTCGTCGGTGGAGTCGTGGTGGTGCTCCGAGTTGAAGGGGAAGTGGAAGAAGGACTCGTCGAAGTAGAAGCTCTCGTGGAAGGGGTGCGAGTGGCGGTGCGGCTGCTGGTGCTGCTGGTGCGGGAAGCCCTGGTTCTCACCCACGTCGCCGTAGCGGTCAAAATTCAACCGCTTCTCCTCGTTGGACAGGATCTGCGCGGGAAGAACCGGAGCCCTCGTCCCCTCTTTTTCTTCCAACCGGCCTCCCCCCCCATTCCCCCCCCCTACGTGCCACATCCGAAGTCGGCCTCTGCACCTCGTAGGCTTTGCTGATTTGTATGAACTTATCCTCCGCTCCCGGGTCCTTGTTCTTGTCCGGATGCCTGGAAGGCCGAGAAAAGGTGGTCAGCAGCAGCTCAGGAAGCGGCCGCTTCACGGGGCTTGCGCAGCGGGAGGGGAGGGCTCTGCTTTTAACCTGGCCATCTCTCACTGAATCACTTTAATTCTCACTGGAATGAGGTTACTTTGATTTACTCACCACTCCCGGGCGAGTTTCTTGTAGGCTTTCTTAATATCCGCCTGGCTCGCAGTCCTGCTGACGCCCAGGATCCGATACGGGTCAAAATCGACGGCCGACAAGATCTGCAAGGCCAGGACGAGGAAGAGGACCAGCACCAGGGAGAGGCTGAGCCGTTTCATCTCCATCTCCTCTCCCGCAGGGAATCCGGCCAGGAGCCTTCCTGGGGACAAGAAGACGGGGGGAGACGTCAGGGCCTGCGACGCGGAGGGTCCCCGGGTGGAGGTGGGCCACGGCCATGTCCCCCCATCATAACCTGGGAAGAGAAACCCCCTCGTTTCCCCTTTCACCGGCTCCTCTGCCTCCATCCACGGAGGGGTTTTCGGGGCTGCTCCTGCTGGGGGGGGTCCAGGCGGCCCCCTTTGAGAGGGGGGGCTCAGGCTGTTTGGTGGCCGCCATCAAGAGGTTTGGGGGGGCAGCCAGGGATCCCCCTCCCCTCTTCCTCCCTCTTGGGGGGGGCTAGGATGCCCAGGGGCTCTTGGTGCGCATGCGCAGAGCCTGGCTTCCCCACCACCACCCGCCCCTCGGCCCCTTTCCAGCAGCCCCGTTCCTGGGCGGCTCCTTCCCCAACCTGGCGCCCCCGAGGCGCGCCGAGAGGGATTCGGGTCTGTCGGGATTCCCCCAAAGAGGAGGGGGGGTGCGACCCACCCCCTCCCCGCCGAGGCTCCCCAAGCCCTCCCGCCCCGGTCCTCCCGCCCACGATGAGGGAGACCGGCGAGGGGCTAGAGCGTCCCCCTCCTCCCCCCCTCCGCCACGGGACCACTCGATGCTCCCCCCTCCCGGGGGGAAAGGGGAGGGGGGAAAGGCGCCCGCAATACCCACCCAGGGCTCCTCCTGTCTCCCCGGTCCCCACTTCCGGCTCGGCGGCCTCGTCACCATAGAGACGGCGCAGCCGGCGCTCACTTCCGGCGTGGGGTTAGCCCCGCCTTCCTGCGCGGACCGCCGGGAGGGAGGACGGCCGGAGCCGCGCGCGCATGCGCAGCATCAGCGGCAGCCGCATCGGTGTTTCTCCCCACCCCCCCACCCCCCGGGCGGCGTCGGGTCCCGGCGGCCATGGAGGAGGCGGATCGGCGGCGTCTGCGCCGCTCCCGGGTGCGGCTGGTGAAGGAGCTGCGGCTGGAGCCGCTCTGGGCGCCGCTGCTGCGCCGGGGCCTCTTCACCGCGGACATGCTGGAGGAGATCCAGGTACCGCGCGGCCCATGGTGCGCGGCCGGGAGGAGGAGGAGGGGCGGGGCCGCGAGGGGAGGAGCCCCCAGGCGCCTTTGGGGTCCCCCGGAGCAGGTTCGGGCCCTTCCTGCCCTGCGGGGCTGTTGTTGCGGGCGGGGGTCCCGCGCGGCCATCCAGTCGTGCCCCCAACCGTCCCCTCTTTCCTCTCTCCGCGCCTGCGCAGTCGGCGGGCCCCCGGCCGGACCAGGCGCGGCAGCTGCTGCGCGACGTGGAGACGCGGGGCCGGCGGGCCCTGGCCGACTTCGTGCTGTGCCTGCGGGACACCGGCCAGGAGGGGCTGGCGGAGCTGCTGAGCGACGGACGCCGCCCGGAGGGGGAGGACCCCGGGGCCCATCGTCCTCCTCCTCCTCCTCCTCCTCCGCCCGCGACGGAGACCCCCTGCGAAGCCCAGCCCGGCCGGCCGGGTAAGCGGGGCCGGGAGTGTCGGGTGTGGCCCCCTCCCCCCCCAGCAGCCCCCTTACGGGTAGTCCTCGTTCTGCGACGCTCGGCCAAGTGACCGCTCAGAAGGGTCCCCCTTCGGGCACCCCGATTCTTTCATTGTCTGTACACAACACCCACAGACACACCCCACACCATCACACACACACACACCCCCGAGCCTCTTCCCCATTTCTGGGCCAGGATCCAGAAGACGGGGGGGGGGGGGGCGAGGACGTGGGGCAGGGAGGGGCTTTCTCTTTCTCTCCAGGGCGGGCAGGGTCCGGCTGGGCAGGGTCCCCTGGGGGGGAGGGTCCCCTGGGGGGGGGCTTTGTGGCTCTTCTGCCTGGACCGACGGATCTCCTCCCTTCTCCCCCCTCGGCCAGGCCCCCCGGAAGAGAAGCCCCAGAGGGACTCCGACATGGTGAGTTTGCTTCTTTTTTGAAAGCTTTATTTCTTCGCTGGCCTTCCCAGGTGCCGGCTTTGGATCGGCGTCCTGGTTCCGAAATCGCCAGTTAAAATTTTATCCAATGTTTTGTGTGGGCTGAGGGCTGCCTCGAGGTGACTTGGCAGTGGTGCCACGCTGGCGTTAATGTGCCTGATGTGTCCTCACAGGTTTACCCCCTGACCTCTGAGCCCTGCGGCTACTGTCTCATCATCAACAACGTCAATTTCAACAAAGACACGGATTTGAAACGCCGCCTGGGCTCCAACGTCGATTGCCAGAGGCTGGAAAAGAGGTTCCGGGCGCTGCATTTCGAGATCCTGACCAAGGAAGACCTCACAGCTCAGGTGAGCCTCTCCAGCCGGGGCTCGGCGGGTTCCCTGGGGAAAATATCTCCCCCTCCCCAAGATCTGGATTCAGCTTTGAGAAGCGTAGGAGGGCAACTGTTCCTCTTCCTTCCGTGGCCTGTCAGAAAGAACCGGAAGGGAGAAAAGGGTTTGCTGGGCAGGCTGACCTTGCTGCCGCTGGGCCTCTCTCCCCCCCCCCCGCCCTCCCCCCAGCTAGAGTGTCTTGAAAAAGTTTAAGGGTGCCTCTCCCCGAAATGTTGACTCAGCCCTTCAGGTTTTCAGCTTGTCTCAGAGTGAGGTCCGGTGTTTGGTTCAACCGGCCCTCTCTGGAAACGCCCTCAGGAAATCAGCCAGGAGCTGCAGAGCCTGGCCAGGCGGGATCACAGCACCCTGGACTGCTGCCTGGTGGTCATCCTCTCCCACGGCTGCGAGGTAGGCGGCCCAGGGCCCCGGGCTCCTGCACGATGGTGGTGGTGAGGGCGTGCGGGAGAGTGGAGAGGGCTTTCCCCATGACATAGCAGTAAATCCGGGGCAGTCACGAGGGGGTGCCAGATGCGGCTTTGACCAGCTGCTGCTTTTCTGAAGAGTTAAGCCTCACTGTCCTCAGCATAAACATAATTCAAGTGCTGCTTCCTAGAAATCACGAGCCTTGCGAGACTGGAAAAAACAATTTGGCTCTTTGTAAAGCTTTTTGAGAGTAGAATTGCAAGATGAAGCTCCTTGCAAGGCCCCCCCCTCCTCTTCTTGAAGGGCTGAACCCAGAGTGAGAGCTCAGCCCAGCCATTAAAGCTTTGGAACTGGGCCGCAGCTCCCCTTCTCAGGCCAGGTTGTGACTTTGTGCTAAGCGACCGGTCCAAAGTCAGGGATTACTTTCCCCCCTTGAGAGAGCCGTGCGAAGAGGGGGGGCACTCTTGAGGGTCTCCTGGCCTCTTCCAGAGCTACCACAACCAGATTCCGGGCGCCATCTTCGGGACAGACGGGCAGCGCATTGCGCTGCAGAAGGTGGTCAGCTATTTCAACGGCTCCCACTGCCCAAGCCTGAGGGGGAAGCCGAAGCTGTTCTTCATCCAGGCCTGCGGAGGAGGTGAGAGGGGGGCGTTGGGGAGTCCAGAGGGAGGGGTCCTGGGGCCCAGAGCATCGCCTGGAAAAACAGACCTGTTTGCCTTCTCAGAGGAAAAAGACCCGGGCTTCAAAATGGAGACAGACGCTTCGCAGGGCCGGCTTGAAGAGAAGACCGTGGAGTCGGATGCCACCCCAATGCGGGGGCCGGGCGGAGACCACGATGAGCTTGATGCCACAGCCAGCCTGCCCACCGACAGCGACATCCTGGTTTGCTACCCGACCTTTCCAGGTAAGGGGGCAACGCTCCCAGGCCACTGTCGGGCGCCAATTCAGACCTCTCGACCCACCTGATGCTTTCACCCCGCTCAGCCAGCAGGGGGCAGCAGCTCCCCCATGGCCCTCATGAGGCTGTCGCCCCCTTCCGCCCTCAGCAGCAGCATGTGGGGAGGCGAGAGGCCCGCTAGGACAGGCGAGTCCTGACCTTTGGCGCTTGTGTCCCCCCAAAGGCCACGTGTCCTGGCGGGACACCCAGAGCGGCTCCTGGTTGATCGAGACTCTGGACCAGGTCTTGGCTGAGTACGCCCACCAGGAGGACCTGTCCAGCATCCTCATGAAGGTAACTTTGCCCTCCCCCCCCCTCTGGGCCTCGGGCGCTGGGATTCGCCTGCCAGGAAACCCGGCAGCTTCTTTGGCTGTCAGTTTTCCACCACCACCACCACCACCCCAGGCCCAAAACTGGGACAGGACGCCTTCTTTACCCTCAATTCCAGCTTGCCGGGCGTTGCTCCATCCCAGGCAGAAGGGGGCCCGCCCGTCTGCAGGACCCCTCTCTCACCCCACCCCCACCCCCTGCTCTTGCCTCCCCAGGTGGCGAACATCGTCGCTGACAAAGATGCAGGGCCTTACAAGCAAATGCCGGGTCATGTCAACTTTCTCCGGAAAAAGTTTTTTTTCAAGGTCTGATGAACGTTTGCTGGTCCTTCGCCATTCCTGGCACTCGAGACGTATTTCTGGAGATGTATTTCTTGGGGGTGGAGGGGGAGATATTTATTTAAGGCCCCGTTTTGCCACCTGGTGCTAAGGAGCTGGTACCTTTCCAGTGCTGTGTTCCATGGAGAAGCCCCCACCAGCAAGCAGGTAGAGACCCCAGACTCCAAATGATCTCCCCTCCCCTTTGGAGCTGCATGGAAACCCGTGTTTGGCCTTTCCGACTTATTCAGCTCTAATGGAACAAACCGATTTGAATCAAGTTTTTACTGTTTTACGTTTCTGTTCTTTTTTCAAGAAATCAAAATTATTACAATGAGAGGTGCTGATAGGAAAAACACAGTGTCTTAAATTGTTATTTAATTATTTGAGGGATGAGCACAATGTCTGATAATCTTTTTACATCATTAAATATTTAAATTCCTGAGTTCTGTGCTTGTTTCTTATTTTATCTGTTCTTGGCTGCTTTCGTTCTTCAAGGAGAGGCACCTGGAACAGTTTGTGCCCCTCACCGGCCCCACATTCCCCTTGGTGGTCTCCAGGACCCCCGAATGTGGAAAAAATCCATTTACTTCTTGGTGGGCAGTCAAGAGAGACCAGAAAGGGAGAAACTGAGGCACTCCTTCCACAACCCCAGACTGGCCCATTTCCAAACAGCAGAGAATAATTCAGCATGTAAAAGGAGCCGCCCGCCACTTCCCAATCCCGTATCTGGGGCAAGATGGGGACGCAGAAAGAGCAGGAACTTCCAGGATCCCCTTTGACAGCAATACCCAACACAGACACTGGGGGGCAGCACTCACTGATAAAGGCATATCCTATTTTCTCTGTGGCACTAGTACCTAATTCAGCCACCAGGGGCAGCAGTCTGGTCATACATGCCCTAACTATGGGCCCCGTACTCAGTTCAGCCACTGGGGGGGCACCATCCACAGTTAACCATGTGTGACTAACTTTAACAACTGCAGTGGTTCGCTTAACAACGGTGGCAAGGAAAATGGTAAGATGGGGCAAAACTCACTTAGCAAATGTCTCACTTAGCAACATAAATTTTGGGCTCAGCTGTGGTCATAAGTCGAGGGCTACCTGGATCTGTCTGAGCCTGCCTTTCGCCTCCTCCCTCCCCTCTTCCTTGTGTGCCAAGTCTTCCGTTTGCCTGACAGTGGCGGCGTCCTTATCTTTTAGAGGTGCAGTTGTGCAGCTTCCGTTGTGATGGTTAACAGGCAGGGTAACAGACTGCAGCCGGACAGCTGGAGGAAGAACGGAGGCTGCCAAGTGGGGGGGGGGCTGGGGGATGTGCCCCAGAGGGTCTTTAACCCCAGTGCGCAAGACACACACACCCCCAGACAAGCCCAGAAACCCGGAGATGAATGAATGTTGGAGTGGGATGTGAAGGAATCCCAGGTTCTGGGGGCAGGAAATGCCACAAGGACACAGCCCTCTTGGGATGATAGAACGTTTATTGAGTGTTTTTCCTATCGGTTTGCCACACACGACACAGCTGGGTCCTCAGTTCTGAGCCATTTTCTGCGGGAGGGGAAAAGACAAAGCACCGCTCAGCGGATTCTGAAAAGACTGGACAGATCCTGCCCAGAGCTGCAGCTTCTTTTCCTCCGCGATGCGTTTCCGGCATCAGCCAGGCCCAATTTCCCCCTTGTGGAAGCAGACTTGAACAGGCTCCTCTTTGGGCGAGCAACGTTAAGAGCAGCCACGGCCAGGTGGCCCCCTTTGAAGGCAGGAGAAGGCGGGGGAGCCGACGCCTGGCTCTTCAGGGTCTGCACTCTGCACGTGCTCCAGCCCCAGAACCAAGGCAGGCCCTCCCTCCACAAGGGTCGGGGCCACGCCTATTACTGAGGACGCCTCGTGACCTCATGGCGACAACCTAACCTTGCTGGATTTCCCTGAATAGCAGAAAGGATGCCAGCCCATCGCTCCGGCCGCGGGGCCTCCGAGTCCGTGGGGAAAGGACCCCGGGGTCCCACAGGAGGGCCTGGAGAGCCTGCTGGGCAGTCGGGACGGGGCTCCTGCCGCCCACTCACCTCTTTCATCCAGGCGATGTAAGCGGAGACGCGGGTGAAGACGGTGGGCTTCTTGGCCGTGTTGCAGCCGAGGGCCGACCCGAAGCTAACGATGCCGTGGACTTGCCAGGAGTCGCCATTGTGGCAGTTCAGGGGCCCGCCAGAGTCGCCCTGCGGACAGAGGGCAGTCCGGCTCAGGGATCGGGGAGCGGCAACCCCAAAGGTTGCTTCCCCACCCCCGAGGCTGACTGGGGGGGGTTCCTGTACTTTTGACCACTGATTGTGCTAAACCAGATTGTCCTGGGTTATATCCCAGCTTCATGCCCGCCCAGTCACAAAGCTCTGTGGGTTCACGCAGGATTAGAACGCAGACCGATGTGGCTGAGCGTGAGTTAAGCAAACCACGGCTTGGCCTTTGGCGACCCCCCCCCCATCTGTCGCTGTGCTTGAGGGCCCCCCAGGCCATCCAGGAGAAGCAGCAAACCTACATTGCACCCCGAAATGACGCCGTCTCCCCCTGCGCAGACCATGGTGGGCTTGACCATGGAGCCCCACCAGTCCTTCTGGGTGCAGGTGGCCTGGTCCACCACGGGCAGGAAGCCCTGCTGGAGGTTGTCCGCTATGGGCCCATTGGCTGCGAGGGAGGGAGGGAGAGAGAGAGAGGTGTTTGGACCCCAGGACGGCCGCCTTCGGGGCTACTCTTCCCTGCTTGGGGGGGGAGGGCAGCCGCTGACTTACTCCAGAGACGGCCCCACCCGGTGACGTAGCAGGGGAAGCCCTGGGGCAGCAGAGAGTCCGGGGTGGGCAGGCAGGAGGGCTGGATGGTGTCGCTGAACTCGACCGGCTGTGCCAGCTTCAGCAGGGCGATGTCATTGCTGCGAGAGGAAAAAGCGGCAGCAGCCGTATTGAGGAGGGGGGGGGGTGCAGGGCTAGGTGGGCCCCCCTGGGGCAAGGACGTGGCTGCCCCTCCTCCCCCGGCCCTCCGGAGAGACTCACATGATGAAGAGGGAGTTCCACTTCTCGTGGACGATGGCCTTCTCCACCGCCACAGCCACCTCGCCGGCCTCGGCCTCCTTCAGGTTCTGCTTCCCCAGCAGCACTCGGTAGGTCCGCTTGGAGCTGGGGGAAGGGAGGGGAGGAAGTGGGATGGGGGGCAGAACCTCCCCCGGAAAGCTCCCCCTCCTGCCCCACAAGGAACACACTGGGGGGGGGAGGGAGTTTCCCCAGTGTCCTTCAAAAGACACCACAGGGGTGTTTTGGGAGACGAGGCCTCGGCTGAGACGGCTGCCTCTGAGAAGGAGAAACGTCTTTCTCCCACATTCTTTTTGGGGCTGGGGGTCACCCCCGGAGGGTCGGGGGGCTTACCTGATGCAGTGAGCCGCCGTCAGCACCCACTGGGGGTCAAGGAGGGTCCCGCCGCAGGTGTGAGCCCAAACTCCATTCTTGTTGTACTGGAGGGAGACCTGAAAGCGAAATTGGCCCAATTTTGTTACTTTCAAAACCCCCAGACTTTCACTCCCCCCAGCCTGGATTTTGCCCTGCGCCTCAAACCCCTCACGAAGCAGGCAAGGACCCCCCCCTGGTGTACGGGGACCCTCCTGGGTCTCAAGAAGATCTCCTCTCCCCCTTCCAGTGGCGAGGCGTCCCACAGGACGACTGGTCAGCCATGGTTCTGCCCTCCCAGGCTGCAGCAAGCAAGGACCCCCAAGCCGCTTACCTGCCAGGGCCAGCTGTGGGGGCGGACGTCTTCGCCCCCAACCACACGCGAAATGTTGGGCACATAGGTGGGGCGGCCACAGCCGTAGGCTTGAAAAAGCACAGAGGAGAGGGAAGGAAGAAAAGGAGACCTCTCAGCGATTTATGTCAATGACACAAGAGCCCTCTCAACAGCTTTTTTCCTTCCAGAGTCTGCCCTCCCCACAAACAGGTGAGACTGAGGCACTTCCAAGGGGGAGAAATCATCAGTGCAGGGAGGACTGACCAGATTCTCTTTGCATCCAATAGCCAGAGAAACTGACTAGACCCTGAGCTGAGCAGCTCCGGGCAGCCCAGGCTGAGGCGGCGCTGAGCTGTTCCCAGAGGGGAGGCAGGGCACGGCTCCCCCCCCCACAACCACTTACCGTGAGCCACGAGCAGGAGGGCGCAGAGCAGCTTGAGCATGATGGCAGCCACTGAAGTAGGCTTTGTGGGAGGCCCCTCCCGCATTTATAGCCAGCTGCAGCCGAGCATCCTGGGAGCCCCCACCAGGTGCGGTCCTTGCCAGGCGCCTTTGACCTTGCCAGGTTATCGCTGGATCGATAGAGGAGGAAGGCGGCCCCTTGGCACAGAGC